GTAGACATAGACTTAAATTACACGAGGACTTCCATGCCAATTTCAATAGTCCTCGCCCAATGACGTCAAATACCTAGGCAGCCGCACGAGATTTACATGCACATTTTGCCTCCTTAGTGTCAGACATAGAGACAGATGCGCACGAGATCTGCATGCATTTTAGGCCTCCTTAGCCTCTGACCTATCGACCTGCCTAATTAACATTCCGGCAGAGTTATCAAGAAATAAACTCCGACATTTTTCAAAGCGTTATCGCAGAGAAAAAAAATTGAAATGGAAATATTGTGTATTGGGTTGAACTATTTTATTACTATTAAACAGAGTGATATGATATAAATGAGCAAGACGGTGACACCAAATAATCCAAAGCTGCATAAGGTATATATACTATATACATATACGAAGCCTGTGATCAAGCGATCAATTTTTTTAAAGCAATATGTGAATGCATAATGGAAATAATTTTCTTGCAGTATATGTTTATTCAAAACACGATGTGAGTATCTTTGAGTTGCATGTATAGTCTAAATTTATGCAGTATTCTACTACGATTACTGGCTACTTCAAAGGAAAGCCGCGGACATTATTCTCCAATAAATCACGAACGACATCAAAAAATTATTGGATCAGAAACACGTATAAAACCTGTGCAGTTGAAATGTACATTTGACTTAAGAATGAGATACGTACTAGTATTTAAACCACATTGATGTGTCGTCTTTTGCAATTTAAACACTGTATATTGCAGAAAGTGGCTGATGAATGTAGGTTTCTAAGGCCAAGCGGGGTTGTTTCCCGAATAATATTAAAAACAAGGTCATTGACCTTGGTGTCATTTGAAAGAACTCGATTAGTAGAATAGGCATACCAAATATGAAGTCTCTATCTTTCATGGTTCAGAAGTTATGGTGAAGGTTAAAGTTTGCAGAAAAAACTATATTTAGCATATAGGCCACAGTCAAGGTCACAGAGTCATTGACCTTGGTGTCATTTGAAAGAGCGTAATTAGTGGAGTATGCATACCAAATATGAAGTCTCTATCTTCCATGGTTCAAAAGTAATGGCGAAGGTTGAAGTTTGAGACAAACAAACAAACAAACAAACAGATAAGACAAAAACAATATACGCCTCGGATCTGTCGATCCGGGCGCATAAAAAGTCACGGGTCAGCTTTTAATAAATATACAGGTCTATTTATGCCATTCAAATATGAGAATATTTTGTTGATATATGAAAATATTTCATACAAGTTAATTATCGGACATACTGAATTCCTGTCGATGCCATATTTTCAAGTCAAAGGTTAAAAAACTATCCAGGAAGTGAAAAACAAAGTTTAAAACACTCACATGTATAAACGGTTATTTCCTTCAAATACATGTAGATGTCTCTCATTTAAAAGAGGTCAATATTTTTTTCGCGGGGGGGGGATAGAGCTTTAATGAACATATAGGATATTTTAGTGAAAAGTTTATTTTTAAAGAATGATATTCAATATATACTAACCATTGTGAATTCTGCATTTTTTATCCTTTAATTTCAATCACAATTATGTTCGGGGGGGGGGGGGGTAGCTGCAGATCTGTAGCTTTGTGGTTATATATTTGTCTTTGACCATAACGCTACAGATCCCGTAATGCAAAACAGTGCAATTTACTTTTGGGGAGAATTTCTTCACTTTCTAGCATCGGTCAATCAACTACCTTTCACTCCCTAATTCTACACACATTCTGTAGCCAATATGTATATTTTATCCACCTCCCAACCATTTACAGTAGTCTCTACAGGCACTAAACTCGCTTGAAGTGAATTTTTAAGCAATCTAACATATAATTTTAATAAAGCGAGTTTATCACTTGTACAGACGACTATAAAGGGTAGATAGATGGATAAAATACACAGATTAGTTGTAAGGTAGTTACATTGACCGATGATGGAAAGTGGAGAAATTCTCCCCAAAAGTGCGCCAAAAAAATATTGCGCCGTGAATTGCACCCTTTTTGCATTACGGGATCTGTAGCGTTAAGGTCAAAGACAAATGTATAAAACTATAACGCTACAGATCTGCACCTAGGGGTGGAGTGTATGCAATACACAATAAATATCTTATTGACGCTTTATTTATTAAACTAGTCATGGACTGGAGGTATATGTTTTTGGGACGTATTCAAGGACGCTGCACTATCTAATGTGTCGATAATGAAGGCTCTAGATGTTTTAATAGGAAAACAATGATACAGCAGTAAAACGTCGCGCCTTATGAAACAGAACAGAAGTCAAACGTAGCAATTACAGGTGCCGAAAGTCGCACATACAGCAACCATACTCGCGCTGCATATCAGAAAACTTTATATTGCATCAAAAGTTTTCATCTTGTGAAACATTAAAGACATGGGAAGTCATAAATGATTTATACAGTTTATATTCATATCACTTTTAACACAAATAACGCAGTGTAAATCGTGTTTAACATGTAAAAGGCAAATATGAATAGATCCAGTGAAATACATTGAACGGATGTAATCTAAAGCAGTTGCTGGATTGTTCCTTACATGTATTCAACTAACAAACAATTCTACTGCATAAAACCATACTGAACGTTAATGATTACGTCTTAATCAAATGTTCTATCATTTCTGATCGTTTAGTTGATATAAACTGCCTCATTGACGTAAACCAATAGTAGCAGGTGTCCGTAACCAAGATTTTCTCGATTCGCACATTACCAGCAGTGGAGAAGACCTCTTAACAGTTATGTATTTCGCTGTAGAGGTCCGACGAGTATAGACGTGCATCTCATACTACCCTGCTTCTCGGTCGCGATGAAATTATCATTTTTTTTTTCCAAAACAGGAGAACAGTATCATGAAAAATACAAGTCAATACATAATGTACAATTGTAAGCAGAAAATGCACATAAAAACGAGGAATAAACGCAAAAAATCTAAGACCACGAAAGGAATACTACATCATGTACATGTCGGCCACGAGTTTCAAGTGTGCAATCAGGTGTAACGAAATACAAAAGCTTATATACCCGTCTGACAGTGCCTATTTACGAGAAGTGTTCAGCTTTAAAACGTTATACATTTGAAAAACATGAACCTGGCCTTTGGCAATGGTCTCGTTTAAGTAATCATTTCGTTAGTCCTGTGGTCGATACAATGACCTTGTCAGCAAATACAATTTAGCATTGAGTCAAATGCTGACTGACGTTTTTTATTCCTATTGTTAGTCCATTGTTAACACACTGAATTGAAGACGGATTTCCCATTATTTCCTGATCATGATAAGTAGCACACGGCGGATGTGACCGGTCAGCATGGGATGTTCACGCCTTCATGGTACCTGACCCCACCTCTGATGTTTCGGAGGTCCGTGCTTGCTCTGCTTCTACTTTGTATTGTTTAATGGACTTTTGAGCTTGAATTCTGTTCGTTATCTCTATATTTCATCAACATTACAGAGGCAAAAAGTGTTTTTATAATATTTTTAGTGTTTAGTGTTTTTATATATTTTAAAAAGATATTTGTTTCTTACTTGTCCCACATTCCACTGTAGTCATCCATCACTAAGGAGTGTTAGCAGTTCATATACCTTTTCCTGACAATACAGTGTTAACAGATTCGTTACGAAAGTGCATATTCTATGTAAGATAAATATTTAAGATAACAAATAACGTAAATTAAATGTTCCCTGTTTTCAACTATATTGTTTACAGTAAGCAAGATGAAATATTACTGTAGTCGTTCTTTTGGCCTTGTTTTGTAAATCAAACCTTTCGTTGGGTCGTATTAAGAGTGACATGTTTCAGAATTATTATAGTTGGTCTATTTCTTCTATAAAAATTGATAATGGATGATACGAATGGTGGTCTCCCTGATCAAAAGAGGTCTCAAGGCGGTTAGTCCGGTCGACATGCTGTTTACTTGTGCTATGCGTCTTATCAATATCTTCGTTTACTTGTGGTTGTGTTTTAGTTTACCCTCTTCACGATTTGTATAGTTATAAAACGATTGATGAGATTTTTGTTTGTAATCTTCACCATTTTCATTTCTGTCTTGATTTTTCGTTTTACTCAGATGTTTGTAAAAGTTCTTTTTTATTTGCTTGACTAAAAAGAAAAAAATTACAAAGAAAATCAACATAACAAAGAATTTCAAGGATGTTTAAAAACTTGTAAAATGATGTCACTGAATTTATTGAAACATGTGCATTATTCGAACAAAGAAAAAATACTTAATTATGCACCGAATCAGCAAGGATACATGCAAACCGTATGCATGTGCAAGTGGTATGTTATTCCATAAATAAGAAAAGTGATTTAAGCATTATAGAACAATGTTTTTCGATAATTTATATAATATGACAGTTCAAATGACTACAGCTTTCTTAAAGTTTCATAATGAGTCAAATGACTAAAGCTTTCTTGAAATTTTATAATGAGTCAAATGTCAAAAGCATTCTGAAAGTTTCATAATGAGTCAAATGTCAAAAGCTTTCTGAAAGTTTCATAATGAGTTAAATGACAAAAGCTTTCTTAAAGTTTCATAATGATTAAAATGACAAAAACTTTCTTAAAGTTTCATAATGATTTAAATGACAAAAACTTTCTTGACGTTTCATAATAAGTCAAATGACAAAAGCTTTCTTGACGTTTCATAATGAGTTAAATGACTAATGTTTTCTTAAAGTTTTATAATGAGACAAATGACGAAAGCTTTCTTAAAGTTTCATAATGAGTCAAATGACAAAAGCTTCCTTAAAGTTTCATAATGAGTCAAGTGTCAAAAGCTTTCTTAAAGTTTCATAATAAGTCAAATGTCAAAAGCTTTCTTAAAGTTCCATAATGAGTCAAATGACAAAAAATTTCTTAAGTTTCATAATGAGTCAAAATAATGTGTTTCTCTAAACATGCTAAAGATTGGTTTTGATACAAATATGAATTTAAAAAAAACAAAAAAAGTAAGAATTGTGACAAAAATACAATACCTTTCAATAATGGTGAAACATAACAATTAAAACAATTCATGCGTGAAATATGTTTGGAACACTGTAAAAAAAATTATCAAAGTACGGTATTTTAAGCAGACACTACTCAATTATCAAGAATGCTACTTTTTGTGGAAATATAATTGTAAGTATTTACCCATTCTAAAAAAAATTCTAGTTTTACAACTGTTTGCAATCCAGAAAACGTAAAACCTTTTAATCTTACCACCTACGATACTTTTTTCTTCCATGTTTTATCCTCGATCGAGTTGCTGAAAGACTGGTTTACACTCTCTCATACACTGAGAGAAATCTCTGTCTCTCTCCATGTATATTTAGTTATGATTCTTTGTAATATCAGCCAACAACAGTCAAATAAGTTTCCTTCGTACCAATATCACCGGTACGAGCTGAAAAAGATTTTTTTAAATGTCTGTATAAAGTTATACTTCATCCTATATTAAAGGATCACTAGATATACTTTATAATAAAAAAAAGAATTACCGTAATGTTCTGAATCATTTGGTGGTGAATACGTACCTGAAAATATGTTAACAATGGATTGTTACCAGAGCTTTTTTAATCGCGGGGGGGGGGGGTATCTTAAAACATTCATTGAATAAACGTATAATCTCGTTAGGAAATCCTTAATTGTGCTTAAATTAATTGATCTTCCTAAATCTAAGCTTTTTGAATATCCTAAATCAACTTAATCCTAACTTTTTGTTTATATCTCCAAGTCACCTTAAAACATCAGATCCTGCTTTATTTTCTGACACCAAATAGTGCCTCTTCTTCGTTTAATGAATTCTAGCACCAATCATTTAGTGTCCTTATTCAAATACAAAGTAACGTTTTTCTTCGTCTTAAATCTAACCTGATCAGGATAGAAAGTCATACCTTTTCTTATGATAAAAACCAGTAGGATTATAGTAAGGACAAGGACTGCACTGAGTACTCCTAACCCTATAATAATGGCCTCCCTATAGTCAGAAACGTCATTAGGGCTAGTAGTATCTTCCTCTTGTCTATTGAATAAACATATATATACTATATATAATGTAGTTAAATGTAACCCAAGTAAAAATATGAAGTCACTCAGTTAAAAAAAAATAATTATAAAAGAAAATGCACAAAAAATTCAAACTTTTGAAACATGATTTTTTTCCGTTAGGACATATTTATACATTATATACACTGTAAATATTGTTTTCCGATGAAAACGGAATACTAACCTGGCATTGGATGATTCGTTGGAAGTCACTCCTATAAACCTATCGCAGGCTATACATTCTATTTCATTCGGACATTTGCTATAGAACATGTCAGCTTTGACAATTTGGTTTTTTCCATTGGTGTAATTTAATCCATTGCTAAAGCTTCCAATCTGAAAAAAATATATGTATAAAACAGTACTTTGTATTACTACAGTGCATGTAATTGAAGGATTGTATAAAAGTGTTGTGTGCTGATTTAAGCTTTACCTTAATAAATTCCATTTTTTGTGGATCGATCTTTGATTTTTGAGTTTGATATATAACGTGTCCTATATTCCCATCGCCATTTTCGTCAAAGATGCTTGTTAAAACGCCATTTAAGGACAGTTTCTGTTTCCTTACAAACTCCCAAATTTCATTTGGCTTGTTTGTATAATCAGAACATATTAATTTAGAATTTTGTCCACATAATTCTTGGAATGCAGCAAATGCTCCTTTAAGGGCTGTAGTGACTGCATACAAGGCAAAAGGGGTCCATGTATTGGCCTTGAATTCTGTGCTATTATATTGCTCCAGTACACCTTTACATTCTGTGTTGGATGATTTGTCAAAACTGCTAGGTAAAAAACAATTGTATTTTTTCTCAAAATATGACCTTGTCCAAGGGTTGTGATAGTCGTCTTTCTGTAATTTATCATAGATATAATGTTGTAAATCATTAGTATCCATAGCTAGTTCCAAAGATAAAGAAAGGGTTCCTTCTAGTTTAGGATTATTGTTCACTATGTCGCTTCTTGTACCAAATGCTTCACTTGCAATGAAGTGAAATTCTCCTGATTCCATAGTAGTGGATATCAACTTTACAACATCGAAAACGACATGTGATTTTAGGAATAAGAGGACAACGTTAGCGTAAGGCTTCTTCCTCATATTATCCAGAATTTTGGTATACTTGTTTTCTATTACTTCTATGCTGTTAGCTACACATATATTCATTGCCTTGGCCAGTTGAATAACCTGATCTCTTCCACCCTCGCCGTATGTGCCCTCACTGTAGAGTATCTGGATGTACCCAGAATTTAAATCTTTTAGGATGTTTACCATGGCTTTTGCCTGATTTGTGTCTGGGGTGCACAACCTCAGAAAATATTTATACTCCTCTCTATTGCTCAGTACGACTGCCGTGGAGCCATATGCAACTTGGACAAAGTTGAATTCTTGAAGGACTTTAGCGGATGCCTGACTAATACTGCTTCCTAATTCAGCAACAAAGGCTAATATTTTGGAGGAAATGTCATTCAGAAATGTGCCATTCGCCAACATTATTTTCTTATCTAACAAATCCAGAAGCTTTTTCGTAGTCATTTCTGGTTGATTGCAACTGTTCAATATTATATACCCTATTTTTGTATTAGGGAAAATGTCTTGATCAAGATTAATGTTGTTAACTGCATAAGTCATTGCTTCTGTTATTTCCCAACCATTCGTTTGTTTGATATCACCACAACGCAATGGATTAGTAGAATCTCCAGTATGAGTTGGGGCTATTCCAACAACATACAGATCTCCCTCTTCAAAGTATATCTCATTTTCTTTGTTTACCGTTTTACAAGACGCACAGTTCTTACCTAGGAAGCACTGTGCTTTATGTATATTCGGCCATTGTGATTCAACATTGTTATCGTAGCTTGTGAGTCTGCCTTGTTTAATATCTAATGAGCCCGCATCATAGTCTCCTACCTGAAATAAAGAAATGTGATTTTTTATGCATGTAAGACAGTGAGACAGACTCAATATTTTGCTCAAATTCAATTCTCTCTGTCTCTCACCTTTTCCAAGCAAAATTTGTTATTCTGTGAAGGACAACTTCTATACTGATAAATTTCATATGATGAAATGTTTCCAACTAAAAGTGCGTCGTTGCTTCCGTTCATAATAACACTGAAATTTGTTGGAAAGGAAACAGGAAATGTATCAAATGTCATTTCATTAAGATCTTTTTTAATTAAAGTATTTTTCCTTTGTAGCAGACTAGATTTTAATTCAGAACAAGTTCCATTTGCGCCTCCACATTTATCTGAATGTAACACTTTGATTCCATTGACTTGAATAAGCGTTGCTATGATAGCATAACTTTCAAAAATATTTTCACTCTCAGTAGTTCTAACTTCTTCTATCGTCGGCATTATACATAGTTCTGAGGAAGGATCACACGATTTATATCGCCGAAATGCATCAAAAAGCCATGGATTTGTTCTGGATTCAATTATAAACTTTGATTTATTTGACATGATACTCTCCCAGTGCCGCAGAAACTCTTCTACAGTGATAGCTGGCGGACTTGTCACAAAGGAACCTTTAGAAACACTTTTAAACTGCTCGAACATAGACTTTTGTAGTGCTACTGATTCTGAGAATACCATTACCAAGTCAAAGTATGAAGATTGTTTTCGTGTCTCGGCAATACTTAAAAACGTACTAACTGTTGAGGTGGAAGCAAAAAAGATTGCACCTGTAATTTGGCTCTCGGCGTTATTTAAGATTTGGTCCAAAACACTTCTAATAGCTGAAAAATCCACGGTTGCGGTTTGTCCAGTCTGTAGGGGAAAGGATTTGGGAATGCATATTCCAACATGCATAGCCAATTTTGAGAACTCTTCAAATGCCCCCCTTCCATACGCTGTGTCTTCGTACACCACAGCAACGTAATTCCAATCCAAGTATTTTAGAAGCTTTTGCATGACCTATTAATAGAAATGCATTTTGTAGATGTATGGTATTATGTAGATGTATGTTACACTGAAAGCAGAAGATACCATTGTTTAATTAAAATAGGCTATCAAAAAGTAAAAATAACCTTTGATTGAAGTTTGTCATTAGGTATAACTCTCAGAACATTTTGAAATCTTTGGTCACTTAAATTGGCGCTTGTTGCAGAGAACAAAAGCTGGTACAATTGATGTTTCGCTTCCAGAGAACTTATAAATCTAGAAGTTACTTCAGCTTGTGAACTACTTTCAGGACCGATAATTCCTTCGAAGAAAAAAGAAATATATATACATTGCTTAGACTTGTTTATACCTGAAAGATTTTTTTCTTCCTTCAGTGGGTAATGCTACTTACATGTACATTGTACATGTATTTTTTATGAATCATATGTACCAGTGCATTGATTTTAAGAACAATGTTAACGTCTACGGAAGAAAGGAAACAAACGAAAATTTTAACATTTCATAACTAAGTCCTTGATGAAGTCTCGATACACCGTGAAAATGTTTACGGTAGAATAAGAATAGAACATTAGACTAACAGGCAAACAGAAAACAAACGAAAATGTAGTCCTTGATCAAGTCTCGATACACCGTGAAAATATTTACCACAATACGCTAAAAACTCGGGGCTGTCTCACTTTCATAAAGGACAGCAAAAAAGGATCATACACGAACTTAAAATGATTTAACACCGAATACTATAAAAATCAGGAGACAAAACATTCAGTAGAATACATTCATTATGTAAGACACAAGTTGACAGGTTGAATAGAATTCGCAAGAAGTAATTATTGCAATAATAATCATTATTGTTCTTCTAGTAGAAATTTACAATGTGGTCGATTAGCAAGATTATGATAGATTAGTAATATCCAAAGATATAATAATATATTATCAATAAGGAAAATGACATATTCTCGAGACTGTTTCTTTGTCGCGAATATAATTTTTAATTTTATACTAGTATTTCTTTTAAGATTTTTTTCACATTGAGCATACAAGCACATAGGTATTACAAACAGTAATTGAAGCATAAATAGAAAAATGAATTTATTACCCTGTTTATACCTATTATGGCTTGAGATGAAACATTAGCTCCGTTCTCTATCGCTTTCTGGACGAATCTGACAGTGTGATGAATGGCTCTGCCGGGTATATTACAAGTAGAATAAGCTTCAACACCTAAAACAGCAAAAACATGAAATCTTACCATGCAACGATATACATATAAATTAAGTTAACGTGTTTTATGTCTATTAGAATCGTTTAAGCTTTGCAAAAATTGAGGGGAAAGTCTGATGATATTGTCAAATAAGCAACAAAGCTACATGTATAAAAGTTCCTTAAAAAAACCCTTCTCAACAAAGCACTTTTATTTTATTTTTTCTGTAAAGGTGAATCGATAGAAAGAATCCAATTATAGAGAGTTCTTTGTGACCTCCTTTAACCTTTATACCATGCTTAGTACTAGATAATAGTATACAGTATCTAAAGAATACATTGCTACTGCTTGAAGAGCTAGAGTATGTGTACACGTATACTGTACCTATATTAATTCCGGGAATGTAACCGACTGAATTCAACCTGTTGAGGGTCCATTTAACAGCTTCATAATTCCTTACTGACGTTATGTCAACTTTATTGGAGCAGTCGTTATTCTCTTCTTCAAAAATATTAAACAGCCCGCCAATAAAAATGTCTCCATCAAGTTTGGCCATCTCTGCAGCCAAACATACAGAAGATCCCAGCATCCAGAATAACACGGTGTCTAGGCATTTCATACTTACACTGAATAAAAATAAATTACATTCAGTAATGGTCATTTGTTTCTTATAGATCAGATTTGTTTTTAACAATGTCAGTTTGTGTCCCTTTTATTATTACAAGTCATATTTTGCCTCTTATTATAAGGCACACTTTGTCCTATATTATAAATCACAAATATTCATTCTCCTATATATTTTAAATCACATTTTAATCTGTTTTTTTTTTTTTTTACATTGTTTTAAGTCATTTTTCATTTAACATTATTATAAACCCACTGAAAGTTAAAATGTATTGAGATAGTTTGAATTCATGTGATCTGTCTTTTGTATGCATGCATTAAAATTTCTGAGTTATTACATGGTTAAAATATGTTGTGAAAGAAACATTGTTAAGTCAATTTTCACAAGAATGGTACATGAATATGGGCGTAGAGAATTCATCTAAATGCTTACATTTTAGGATTTTTAAGACCAGTTTTGGGCGAGAAATGCATTTGACTAAACTCCCAAGATTTATGAGTTATGTAAACAATATTAAGAATTTTTACCCAGGGACTTTCAATCGAGGCTATTCAAAGGACTAATACTGAGAGAACATTAAAATATGCAATTTAATATAATACTGAAACGCAAAAGAAACGCAACAAGCAGTAACCTACAAATGTTTGAATTTTTATCAAAAGATTTTCAAAAAAGAATACACTGAGGCTAAACTCACTTTTCAGTACATCAGAGATTTGATAAAAATGTTAAATGTGTATCTTTTAACTTTACTAAGTAAAATATGACTGTTACAACACCCCCCTCCTAGCCATTCAATCACAAGGTGCAAGACTGCCCTAAACAACAAATGCAGCTTAATTAATTTCTACGATACAATAGATTAATCAATATCGAGATCTGAGCGAAGGAATTATTCTTTGCCATTTTTAAATGCGTATTTTTCAGATGATTAGGTCGATTTTCTCTAAATTAGCGCATTGTAGTAACCCTTGGACTTCCGGTCCAAGGACTATCATTTATATGCATATGATATGTAAAACACCGTTGAGGCGTAATGTAGTGCATTTTTGCATCATCAATCTCCATTACCTTTACTCTGAGATTTTCCAGCTAGAGCAATGGAAATGCATACTTAAAGCCATTTTTAAGATGCCTTAGCATCGATACGGGAAACGAGAGATTTTATTTTTTGAAATATTGATGCATTACTTAAGATGAACAGTACAAAGCATTAAAACTCCATAATATTGCCAAATGTTTTGTTAAACATGCAATTTTTGATTTCTGTTAAGCATGCAGACTCAAACTTGACTTCCGGTTATGGTATGAAAATCGTTCAACCGTTAAATTACCGATATTTACCAAGTTGAAGATATCCATAATTTTAAGATACAAAATTCTTTACTTTACATAATTATTTCTTCCTAAAGTAGGGTGTTGCGTTTCTTTTGCGTTTCAGTATATAACAAAAGGTGTCCAATTTTTCCCTTGTTAAGTATGATTAAAGTTACTGATAAGAAATATACTCCTCATAACTTGAGAATTATGTCTAACACAGATACATGATATCCTTTTATTTTATATTGCTCTCCCGTACTTGACTTGGTATACATTTGAATGCGTTCATGAATACACCATTGTATTGTCCGAGAGTAGTAAACAGCATTTTTGTCCTTTGTTATCTGTTATTAAGTCTGTTTTTGGCTGGTATTATATTACTGTAGTTTATGTTACTGTCTGAAAATTTGGTGGTATGACTGGTTTTCTATTAAATATATTACTGTAGTTTATGTTACTAAAGAAAATTTGTGGGAAGACATTACTAAGGAAAGGGAGTGTAGACGCTGATGCTACATGTATATTATAAATCATTTTATTTTTATATAGAAATTTAAGATTTTGCATAAATTTTATAATTTTCAAAATTCTCCCCAACTATAATTTACCTACAAGGAAAAAAATGTATTCTATGTCTTTCGCTGTTTAATGAAAAGCAAATTAAGTTACGGGCAATGTCGGCATTCCTTTACACGAAGAGAAGAGAAAAAAAACATGAGATCGGAAACTCAAACAAAATTTCAAAGCACTGATAGACAAAAATAAGTGGCAGACCTCTTGCCCCCAACTTTGAGATTATTAATAATTTTTTGTTTGATCAGATCTTTATTTGTATTAGTTAAACATTTAAAGAAAAAAAACTACATGTACCTTCGAGGATCCCCTTCAAGAACCAGATCTACCAATTCCTAAACGGGAAATATGACTCTGGGGTGTTTTATCTACATTGTAACTTAATTCTCAAATGTTATAATTAATACTTTTTCACTGAAAAAAAAAATCATCGCAAGTAACCAGATCTACCAATTCCTAAACGGGAATATGACTCTGGGGTGTTTTATACATTGTAACTCGGCCAAGTTTGTTTTCCATAATAAATTTTTGGCTTTCCCCAGGTAATGAGAGAAAAACTTTGACTTTGTATCATGGCATGTTTTAATGTCCTATAGTGTGATACATATAAAATCCTTTTAAAGTAGATTTTGTATGCTAAACAAGATGACAATGAATGTTAATTATTTAGGCCATCTGGTTGAAAATTGGTCAGGTGCACTTTAAATTCAAAATGTACATGGCTTCTCTACTGTAGAATATGTATGAAATGATTTCTTATTGTTGGATTCTTATGTTTTTCTGTGACTTAAAATAAACCCAAACTGTATACATTATCTGTTTTCCTGTTTTATTTTGTCCTTTTATATTCTGAAAACCCCAATCATGTATGTTCCTTAAGATTTTCATTGCCTTAATGCGGTAATGCTTAATCAATGATATTTTGATAAAAAAAAAAAAAAAAAAAAAAAAAAAAAAAAAGATTATACCTGTATGTTGCTTCTCAAAACAAATACAATCAGGTCCATTTCAAATGAAAAAAGCTTAATACCCCGATTAAAATTGTATCTGCATTGAAGTATGTCTTCATTGATATAGCCATATTTATTCTAATGAAAAAAACTTTAAACTTCACATATTAAAATAACAATTGGACTCATCAGAAGTTTGTACTTGCTGCAATAATCAGTGGAGATACCCAAAAACCGGGGCAGGTGGAAAGTGAAAATATAGTATTCCCTGCGTATTTTCTATCAGGAAGTTATAAAATAATCACAAAACGCAAGGTTCTTCTTATATGTTTAGGTTATATCCCCTCCAATCGATGTTTATATCCATATTCACAGATAAAAAAAAAAAAAATTAGGACAAGAAATATTTGATACCCATTGTTAACCTACCTTTTTTTCTCTCCGGATAACGCAGTCTTGGTTCTTTTTAAATGCCCTGTTCGGTCTACTCTTTATGGGTCAACAAACCCTTTTAGCACAGGCACTTAACGTAATTTTTTTCTTTTTATATAAAAAAAATAAATCCGAACATAATGACACACTGCCTTGTGTATTATTAGGTAGGAGGTATATTTTTTTTATTAAAAGAAAACTAAGTAACGTCAGGTACCCGTGCCTTTAAGCTCTTTACACTAAAGTCACTTACCCTTCAAGCTTTCTCTTCCTATATTAAATGATAAAATGAACAACAAATAGGAAGACGTGATAGTCCAGTCTTATTGTGCTTTATCGGGTGCCCCATTCTTCAAAATACATTCATGGTCGATTTTAATATTCTAACTTGGGTGTAATTAATACCTCGTACATTTACGCGGGAGATGGTGTGGGATTTCTCTCTTAAGATACTTTCCTGTCATAAAACAGATTTTTTTTTCTCGATTCTCATTTTTTTTCTCATTTTTAAATTTGGAGAAAATAACGGTTAATTCTACCTGAAATGAATGGCTATCAATTAAAAAGATATTGCACAACATTATTTCATAATTGATCTCGTATTAATTTTATTTATTCAAATTCAAATGCAAACCATCATCGCTAACAATGTGCCCGATTTGTACACCTTATGAGGTGATTTATGGGGATACAGATGGGACACCGAGATATGGCATTGTAGGAATTTAAAATAAAAAACACATTTTCAAGTACAATATCACCTTTTTTTCCAAAGTACTTTAAAAATCTTTATATTAAAATTCACAAAAAATGTCTTTGGAAATCTCATATACCATCAGTTGAAGAATGTCGTTTGGTTTTCGTTAATGAGCGCACATTTTCGATGTTGTCTGTCTGTTTCCCACACAGCTTCTTTAATTTTCTACGGAATCTCCGATCCGTGAAACCGTAAACAATTGGATTGACAGCCGGGGATATCAGCCGAAACCACAAAAAAGTTCGTAAAATAATAGTAGATGTGAGGGAAAAGTCACAGTCATAATGTTTTTCTCTGTTTATGTAGATTGCAATGATGTTGCTTGGAATGGTTGCCGCCAACGACACCATTGTTACTGAAAATAGAGTTATTGTCGACTTCCGGATTGTCAGGGATTTGTTGGATACTGGAGACAACCTGAAGGTCTCAAAATGACGAAAATGGGATTTCTTTTCAACTATTTCTCGAATTATTAACATATACAAAATAATAAGCGCTAAAGTATTGCAAACTGAAAGAGCTGTCCAACTAACATTCATGTACAAAACAGACTTTTCTCTGAAGGCGGGAGTAAAGCAACGTTTGGTTGTGACGTTGTTTATCATATTTTCGATGCTGATGTTTTCAAAGAAGAAGGACATCGGCAGAGAGAACATCAAGGATAACAAGATTCCGCTAATAAGGAAAATTTTTCTTGATCTCCCAGTGAACTGCCAGCCCTGGGGACAGCAAACGGTTCTATATCGGTCCGTGGCTATCATGAAAAGGAGGAAACCCGATAAAATGGCAAAGAACGGAAAACATGCAACACCGAATTTACAAAAGAATTCTGGAAACTCAAGCAGAGGGTACATCAGGAATAAAACACACCCAGGAATGAGAAAAGACGCTGTCATTAGATTTGTCGATGCTAAGAGGATCATATAAGTCCTGTAGGCCGAACGTTTGAATTGCCTGATGAAGATAAATAAAACAGGAACATTTCCCAGAGTTCCTAAAATGGAGACTGCGATCAGTAGAACACTGGCTCCAATATTTTCCTGTCTAACGACTTCATTTATTGCGTAAATGTCCGATGCATTTGTCCACATGTGTTCTCGTATCCACGCATGGCACATGAGTGGTCCGGTTTCATTTGCTCTTGTAGATAAATCTTGGAGGGCATTGTCGTATTTGCCCGTTTTTCCTTCTTCACCATGGTGATATATGGGTGAAAAAATCATCATGTTTGTAAAAGTTGTTTTGAAAAGAGATCAAAATCCGTACAATATACCGTAGTCTTCGAAATTCGTACACATTATACATTGCATTTCTTGGGGTTAATGACATTCATGTCATACAGAGGAAAGTATGGGTCAGATAGGAAAAACTTTGTCAAACGGAAGAGAGCGACAACACCGGAACTCTTATTTTACCCCGCGGTAATGTTACTGAGGTTGTCAACGGAAGTAACCCCTCTTATAGTCCCTCTGCATGCTCTACACATGAGTGTGTCTTCCTTCTAATTCTTGACTATTTTGTCGTTCTGACTGATACTGCATGTATATACATTTAACTGCCAGTCGGATTAAAGACGTTTTGAGGTTTTGAAACGTATACAAACTTGAAAAAAAAAATGCTCTAGTCTATTGTTCTTTTTTCTCTCAACGCCAATTCCTGTAGAATCAGGTAGCAAACGTATATAATGCACATTAAGTGAGTATTCATTATATAAAATGACACTTAATAAACAAAATACAAGTATGACAGGGGAACAATTTAAATATCATTAGAACCTAACCCGCTTTTTCCTCCAATCAGCAGCTGCTAAATTTTCTATTAAGTTGATCACTTAATTGATAAGATTTTATGTTTATGCAGTAACTTTGCGGGCTGACTAATTAGCCAATGAAAAAGCGCGATTAGGTTCTAAGTAAGTTAGATCATATTAAGTAAAATTTTAGTGGTTAAGAAGGGGGCTCGGTCGCTTCGCTCCCTCCGCCCCTTCTTAACCACTAAAATTTTACTTAATATGATCTAACTATTACTTACAAAAAATATGTTTTCTGTTATAAAACATTTGAACAATAAACAATTTTAGAGTCAGTAATGTATAAAATGCTTTGTGGTTCTAGGCCCACATCATCCGATCGTTCTGAAAATCCGATCAAATTTAAATATAATTATAATTAAAGAAGTTAAATCTTAAATAAATCAAATTTTAATAAATAAAATACTTTTAATGGGTCATATATGACCCCTGTGGCAGCCAGTGGGTAGAGCCCATATATGACCCCTCTGGCAGTAAGAGGGTTAACATGAAATGGAGAAATACATAAATTGCATGTACATGTATATGGATAGCCTTTCATTGAAAATTATATGTATATAATAGACTATGCCTTTTTTTAAAGTTTCAGATTTCAAGTTTTATTAATACCAAAGGAGATACATCTCATACATATAGATACATGTACATAGTCCTTAGTTAGTGTAATATATATACATGGCAGAACTTTTTTTTTTAAAGTTAAAAGCTAAATATTTATTTCGTGTTGTCTTTTTTGTATATCCACCTGATGAATAATAACTAACTAGGTATGTGTTGAATATTTTTATATTCTGGTGAAAGACTTGAAGTGAGTTTTCTATTAGTTGTTTGACCTTTTTCCGGAATCCCTATAACTTTATATTTAAGCTAGTATCGCTTTTAAAGATAAATTTTCGTTGAAAAGGGTATGCCTAATTTATAATTTCATTCATAGGGTTATATAACGCACAATAATTTTATTTCGAGAGCAAGAGAAAACACGTCTTAAGTATTGATATATATATATATTTTTATCCCTAGTACGGAATTAATTAGGCTTTTGAATTCATTTTGATTTTAGTTTGCATTTAAAACATCCGATGAAAACATTGCAAAAGAATTCCAGATTTTTATCACCAAGAGAAACACATATTTAAAGTTATTTAAGAAGAAAGCTTGGTGAAAAAATACTTTACAGAGTGAATGACTTAGATTTTTTTACCATTTAGAAGTCTACGTCCAAAACACTTTCCGGAAATGGCTTATTCATTTGACTTGCATCAGTCTTGTGTTCTGGGCATCGGACGATAGGTAACGTTAACCTTCACCTGTCCAGTTGTATTTCTGTTTATGTAAATTTTTTATTTGTCTCAATACTTAAAAATTTTGGTACTCCTTACACAGAGGAAGACGTTTCTATACAACTGACTCTACATACTAAATACTTTCTGACTTATCTTGTTTGGTGTACAGGTTGACTAAACCCAAGATGATACTTTACCGATGTAGAAAGTGCAGATGTTGTTTGTTTACGGAAGAATGTGTTATTACAGAACATGGAAAGAAAGGTACAAAAAAATTATATTTAATGTTGGATAATTTATTATGGCATGTCTTAGTTTTATCCCTTTTTAGCTCACCTGAGCCGAAGGCTCAAGTGAGCTTTTCTGATCACATTTTGTCCGGCGTCCGTCTGTCTGTCTGTCTGTCCGTCTGTCTGTAAACTTTTCACATTTTCGACTTCTTCTCAAGAACCGCTGGGCCAATTTCAACCAAACTTGCCACAAAGCATCCTTTGTTGAAGGGAATTCAAGTTTGTTCAAATGAAGGGCCACGCCCTTTTCCAAGGGGAGATAATTATGAATTAGTGAAAAATTATTGGCATTTTTAAAAAATCTTCTTCTCAAGAACCACTGGGCCAGGAAAGATGAAACTCATGTGGAATCATCCTCAGGTAGTGTAGATTCAAATTTGTTCAAATCGTGACTCCCGGGGGTTGGGCGGGGCCACAATGGCCGACCAAATTTTACATAGAAATTTATAGGAAAATTCTTTAAAAATCTTCTTCTCAAGAATAACAAAGCCATGATTGGTCATATTTATATGGAAGCATCCTCAGGTAGTGTAGATTCAAGTTTTTTCAAATCATGACCCCCGGGGGTAGGGCGGGGCCACAATGGCCGACCAAAGTTTTACATAGAAATATATAGGAAAATTCTTGAAAAATCTTCTTCTCTAGAATAACAAAGCCATGATTGATCACATTTATATAGAAGCATCCCTAGGTAGTGTAGATTCAAGTTTGTTCAAATCATGACCCCCAGGGGTAGGGCGGGGCCACTATGGCCGACCAAAGTTTTACATAGAAATATATAGGAAAATTCTTTAAAAATCTTCTTCTCAAGAATAGTAAAGCCATGATTGGTCATGGGACTTCTTTTGGATTAAAACTTTTCAATAATAAAACAAATTTCTACTTTTTCCTAGCCACAGTGCTCAGGTGAGCGATG